GCTATGAGCACAAACAGCAAGCAGACATCATCAGCTGTCCACCATGAAATATCCATAGCCAACTCTACTGTAAATAGCTTGGTTGAGAAGCCTAATTACCTGAGAAATGGACTAGAGCTTCAATCTGGTTCCTTCGGATTACTAAGAAAAGAAATTGAGAGTGTTGTTACCACAATATGCAAGAAGAAACTGTTGGATCTCTACAACAAAAGGAGCATCTCAGAACTGATTGAGGTGGTCTGTGTTGCTGTGGGTGCTAGGGAGCAACCCCCACCTTCAACTGTTGGCAGGTCCAGCATTTATGTAATTATCAGACGTGACAGCAAGCTCTATATTGGACAGGTATTTTCTTTATCATATTCTCTGTGATCTCCATTCTCTTACCGCGTTGCTACGAGGGTCATGAAATGTTGTCTCCGTTGTCTGCAGACGGATGATCTTGTGGGTCGACTTAGTGCTCACAGATCGAAGGAAGGTATGCAGGATGCCACGATATTATATATTTTGGTACCTGGGAAGAGCATTGCATGCCAACTGGAAACTCTTCTCATAAATCAGCTACCTTTGAAAGGTTTCAAGCTCATCAACAAGGCAGATGGCAAGCATCGAAATTTCGGTATATCTCTTGTCCCAGGAGAGGCAATTGCCGCATAGAGCACACTGAGCATACCCACTGAAAATCTGATGTACTACTAACTCTTTATAATATGCAATCTAATCGAACTCTAGGAGAGTAAATTCTGATCCAGTTTGGTTGCTAATTACGTTAAGTGGCAGGAGCAAAGTCGTATCCATCTTGCCCGCCCCAATTTTGTCCACTTGGTAGTATGCCATCATTGTGCATAGTAAGGGGCCTTCGTCCATGTGGAACAGTGGGAGAGCTTATGTTGCGAAATGCAATATACTATGGCATAATAAACTGCTTAATTCGGATATTATTTATGTCGTACTACATGATTCGCTACTCAAAACAACTGGATTTACTGATGACACTATGGCTACCACTATGAGGTCCCAACTAGGTGTAGTTAATCTTCTATCAACAAATTCCCAAATATTCTTCAGGGAGACTGCTTGTTTGCAAAATTGTGGCTATCGAAATTCAAAACGCTCTCATCCTATGTTTCTCATCAATAGATTCCCTGGGGGCCATTGCCCTGTTACGGGAGTGAGATACTTGAACCCCACATACTCGAAATGTTCCACCCAATGACCCAAAGCTAGTATAATGTGATTCTGTGAATATGTGATGAGAAAGGTGCAAGTTATCCTCTGTATATTTATTTCTATGACAACAATGGTACGCCAAGTTATTTTCTGCTCGGCTCTCCAGAACGACTTCGGCTTCAAGTGAGAGTCAGCATCCGATGCGGGTGACATTTGTCACCGTGAACAAGTTGCCAGCTCGCGACGGATTTTACGTTGCCAGAGACTTACACGAGTGTGGGGGCTCGCCTCACGCTTGGCGGTTTGGCAGTTTTGGGCCGCGACGGCGACGTGCCGAAGCCGCATATGCATCGTTGCCTCCCCCTAGTTCCCGTTTTGCATGATGAGATCTCCGTACCTGGCTGACTGTTACACTTCAGCTAACTAACCAGCCCTACTACTACTGCTGCTACATGTGTGAAGATAAAGAAATTTATATATTAAAAAAAAGTATAGAAAATGCAGAGGAAACGTAAACCTCGTGTCTTCTGTAATTCAGTCCGCTGGACGATCAAGCAGCACCCATGAGTCCTCCGTGAACGTATAATCAGGCCCCGTTTAAATCCCCCACAAAAATTTTACACCATATCACATCAAATTACACATATAGATATAGTCTTAAAAATAACTAATTACACATATTGCGACTAATTTGCGAGACAAATCTTTTAAGTCTAATTGCTTCATGATTTGACAATATAATGCTACATTAAACATTTACTAATGATAGATTAATTAAGCTTAATAAATTCGTCACGCGATTTACTGACGGATTCTGCAATTAGTTTTTTTATTAGTGTCCAAACACCAAATGTGACACTATATATAATATCTGATGTGACACATCAAAACTTTACACCGCTATATGGCTGTATCTAAACACCCCCTCAATTGATCATGATATCTTTGAAAACCTAGCCTCATATGAGTAGTACCATTATGACATTATTTTTGCATGAGCAGGCAGCCTGGCACGCCTGGAAATGGCTCATGAGTCATGACTAACCTGTGTGTCATGCTGCTACACACGAAAGCTGCCGGTTCAGGGTTACATAGATTGCCGGTTTGCGGACGCTCTCTCGGCTCGTCAGAAATGTCAGGCATCTCACCTGTGGAGTCTGCCTCGCAAGTTCAGCTTTACGTAAATCTACAAACAGTGAGCCACGTCACATGTGCCTCAGTCCCTCAGTGACCCGGCCTAGTGTAATTAGTGAAACCTATATTACCTAAAAGACTTTAGACAGCTTGATCATCCTAAACTTTTCTTTTGACATTTTAAATACTACTCCCTGCTTAGGAGAAGCTCGTCCAACTATCCAAGCACTCGCTAGTGCTTAGGTTCAAATTTTACTCGGAGAAATATGGACAATTGTAGGCAAACGCAAGTACTAGGAAAGGAATATCTCTTTCACGGGAGGACGAGACGTTAAATCGTCGGTATTCGTGGTGCAGAGGTACCAGAATCTGTCATCGTCGTACATCCGCCGGAACGATGGACGTTTCTTGGCAAGTTAACCCGGGGCGGTGAGAAATTCCTTCTGATCGTATCTCCCCAAACACCAACACGCCCCCTCCCCGTGCCGCGCACCGACAGCGTCCACGCGTGGAAAAGAACAAGAGAAGACGAGCAGCGCAGCGGCGAGGCGACGGAGAGGCACGTGACGAGACACCGCGAGGAGTATAGTACCCCCTGCACCAGCAGCCCACAGGCAGGCAGGCATGCGGCCGCAGCGCATGCAGGCAGCGTGGTCGATCTGCCCAACCTGTCGCGGTGTCGCTCGGCTCGCCGGGCCGGCGTCCGCTTCCGCGTCCGCGTCATCAGCCTCAGCGCGCGTAAAAAAACACCAGAATTCGCCGTGCGCCCGTGTGCTCGTGCAGCTGTGGTGGTGTGCCGCGCGGGTTGGCTACCGGCGAGGGAGCTGGGACCTGGGAGGCGGGGGGTGGATGGGGATCTCGATGAGCGGGGAGTACGTACGGCTCCGGCCTAACTCGCCCGTTTGCTCGCAGCCACACTTGGGCGTACGACGTCCGCGGGACCGCGCGACCGCTGCCTGCATGGCTGGCTGTTCTCATGCTGTGCAGTGCACGCTGTACAGTGCTAACCGCGGGCGGGCACAGACCCCAGACAGGCGCGCAGTGGCGTCCCGATCGAATATCGATCGCCCGAGCCCCCACACCTCCCGTGAACGCACCACACCAAAGCTGAGGCCAGAGGCCAGAGCCGAGGGTAGGACGAAAACCAAACAAACGCCCGTTGAGGCCCGTCTGATCAACGGTGTAAATCGCTTGCAATGTGTCAAAACTCGAAAGGGAGGGTGCAACGAGCGAAGAGTTACTGTAACTGCCGGTCCAGAGAAAGCAGTCCGATGGATCAATCTGTTCGCGGTCAACGTGCTTTACGTCACGCCTGTACGAACAGTTGGTGCGTTACGACTTGACTACGGATTACCGAGATGCTTGTTTTCCAAAGCTCCAATAAATAACGGCCGTGTTATTACGTGGGACTTTTGAAATTGAATCTCGGTTTGCCTTCCCTGTCACAAAACAGAGAAACTTCGGTTCTCCTCCGTAAAGAAAACCACGCGTACAAGCGTACAACAAATGAATAAATCTCTGCACATTTACACGGTACTCCTACTCCGTACTACTACTACGACTGGAAGGTAGCAGTGCCACGGATTAGCCGAAGAAAGAAGGAACACACATGGCGTGTTGTGCAGCCGCCGCTGCTTCCCGTTCTTTTCAGTTCAGTTAATTACTCCCCCACTTCTCATCATCCCATGTCCACTTTCTTTCTTTTTTTTCTCTCTTGCACGCACGCACGCACGCAACCCACGCGCGGAGTGGCGGTGGATGGATGGAACGCGTGACTGCGTGAGAAGGTCAAGAGCAAACAAGAACACGCACAGTTTCACGAAGGCGGGTCGGGGTTAAATCATCCCACCAACACCAACCAAACCAACCAACCAACCTCCCCACACCGCCGCCGTCGCGTAGCGCCCGCCCACCCCCGCGCTCGCCGCCGGCGGGCGAACGCTCGCCATCCGCCCGCATCGCCATAGGTGCGCGCCTCCCGATTCCCATCCTTTTTTCTCTCTCCCACCATTCCCGGAATTAATGCACGGATGATGGATGAGTTGCGTGCCTCCTATCCGATGTTTTTCGTTTTTCTTGCCTTCTCCGTTAGATCTTCCTCTTTTCATTTCTTCTCGTTTCAGCTCCGCTCCGCAAAACCCTGATGATGGTTGTCCTCGACCACCCATTGCGTGCGGCATTTGATCCGGGCGATTTTTTCTTTCCTTTTTTTTTTCTTTAGGCGAGGTGGTGTGTGTTCGTGGAAATCCCGGTGGCCGTGCGGGAGGGGCGCGCGTGAAGATCTGAGCTCGGGTTTATGTGATATCCCTCGGACCGAAATTCCCATCGATGATGGCGTAAAGGCGGCGCCTTTTCTCTGCAGTTCCTCCCCTCCCGTCCCTTTCCGCTCCCGCGCCCGAGAATTTATTGCTCGCAATGCTGCCCTCTCTGATGATGAGCAGAGCAAAGGATGCAGAGCCTTTACACTTTAAATGCTTGGTCGGTTTGGCTGCAAGATGCCATATTGCCATCTCATGCGTACCACCGCCATCCGTCCGTCACTGAGCTCCTGCTTGCGTAGTGACGAGCGTTCTGGTTTCGCTCAGCTCGTCTCGATTTCACACGGATTGGAATTCGGCCGCATTCCGCGTGGAAAGCTTCGAGTTCTTGGTGCTTCTTGTTCTCCGCTGCGAAAACCGCAGCTTTAGTAAGAGCTCATCAGATTTCCTCTTTTATTTTTTTTATTTTTTCTGTCTTTTGCTTTCGGTTTCAGGGATCGTTTGGGGTTCAGGGCGTACGTTACGTCTCGTTCTTCTCATTCCTTTCTACGTTGTCGTTATACTTCTCCTCCTCTCCCCCTGCTAATCTGCCATCAGGAATACCTGGCGTCCTCTTCTTTTCATTCTACCGATGTTCTGATGAAAACTGCAAGATTCCCTTTGAGGTCCAGCCCGTACGATCTCGTTGCTCTGGATAGTTTTCTATTATATGTTTCTTATTTTGTTCTTTTGAATTCTGAATTCTTGAAACTAGATGAGCTTGAAGTTAACAGCTCGAATTTTGATTTCCATGGAGTAGAAAGCCGTGCTTCTTTGGCCTTCTCTCTCCTGCCAGCTGTGGAGCTGTGCACTTGTTTTGTTCATGATAGCTGAACTATCTGACTGAGGAAAGTGCAGCCTTTAAAAGCCTTTGTTACTGCAAAGATTCCTTTTGATGGTAATCATGGATTTGTAATCCTCTCCATCCAATTGGAATAGTGCATCTGCTTTTATGTTTACCTCCTGTTGGCTGCTACTATACCACATTCTACTTTTTCATCTTGCCTGGTGTTGCTCAGTCCCCATCGTATCTTTTCGTCGGACGTGCCATTCTCCTTTTCTTTTGGTTTTAAATAGAACAGGGCCATGAACTGTACTCTCCTTGCATCAAATTGGGCCTACTAATGCCTGCAAAAATCCAGCCTTTGCATGTGTGTGTTGATGTTTTCCTGGAAGGACAGCATCTTGCTACAGTGTACAGTAAATTAGTAAGCTCGTCTGACCTTATATGGCCCATACCCACAGTTTCAAATTTAAGGGTTCAATACTGAGGGCTTTGCAAGAGAGCATTATATGCTTTGCTGCACTAGGTTGTTCGCTCGCCAGTTTCTTACCAGCTACCTGTAATTCTATTGTGATTTAATTGGCTACATCAGCTTTTGGATCACGGGTACAAGGTTGGTTTTGTAATGTTCCATACTCGCTGTTCCATTTGAATGAATTTCTTGTCATAACTGTCTTTTCAGGATTCATCAATGTTGTTATCCTCTGAGGCTTCCTTTGTAATAAGAAGGCAGTGATCAATTTGTTTGACCTGAGTACCGGGATGACCAGCAAAAATGTGCTAACTGATAGAACTCACAGAGATGGTACAAAAATTTCTTCCACTTTTTCTTTGAAGTGCTGCTTAAGCAAGTGATCTGCAACTCCTGATTTTGCTTTTTTTCGCCGGGTCGGCAACTCCTGATTTTGCTTTCATAATGCATATGAATTTATACTTTAGAGTTACTTGTGATAGACGGGCTAGATGGCATTGGCATTGTTTGAATAATGATTCATTTGCATAATGTTAGATGGTGGTCTCCCTTTAGACAATGTCATGTTTGATTGTTTGTAGATGATGACACATTTGTCTTTTCTTTCTGGATGTTTTCCTCTTCTTGGATTCGAAAATAATTCAAAAGAGCTCTTGCTATTTTTGTTGCAAGACACTGACCTTAAAAATCAAACTGACTGTGTTCTTTATTTGTTAGTTTGTATTGATAGACATAAGTGTTTTCTGCCTAATGTTAATTGTTCAGCTTGCATCTTTCAGGCTCTCGAGTTCATAAAAGCCGGCAAGATGTCAATAGAACTGTTGATCCCAAAATAGGTTGTGTAGAGGACAAATTAGTGAGTATCATGTCATTTGCCCTATTCTAGCATATGTAATTTCAATTTATCGTAGGTGTCAGATTGTCCTTCTAAATATATATCTGGACAGCACTTACACAATTTTGTAAATTTCAGAAAGTATGTCTTCATTTTTTTTTCTAATATAGTATTCATTGCAGCAGGTAGTAGCTAGTACTAGGAATTCTTCAAGCAACAAATCAACCATATCTCCAATGAACAGATTAGTAGCAATGGAGATGTCCAAAGGAGTGGAATCAAAGAGGAAGCCACCTAGTGTCGTTGCCAGACTAATGGGGCTTGATGATGATCTACCTGCTAAAGAACCAGCATTACAATCTTCTAGAAGAAATTTGCGGAGAAGTCATTCACTTGATAATTTGGCAGCAACAAACAGGCCCCAACAACAGCAAGAGCAGCATTACAGCAGGACAACACCAAACATACACATAGGCCCCAAAGAGACAGTTGAATTTAAGGATGTGTACGAAGTCTCTGAAGATCCATTAAAGAGACATCATATTCTGGGGCAAAATTTTCCTTGGGAAAGATCTTCTGGGAACAAGAGTGACACTAGGATCGAAGCTGTTCGACAGAAGTTCATGGAAGCAAAACGCCTTGCCACAAATGAGAATCTCATCCATTCAAAGCAGTTTCAAGAAGCTCTTGAGGTTCTAAGTTCAAACAGGGAGTTGTTTCTGAAGTTTCTTGAAGAACCAAGCCCTGCTTTCTTGAAGCAGCTCGATGGACTTGACACAACGCCTGCACCGCCTCCGACGAAGCGTATTACAGTGTTGAAGCCAATCAAATCTGTTGAGAACAATGGAATAAGAGAAACCAGAACACACCAAGTTATTAATGAAGAAAATGAACTTGTGATGGGAAAGACTCACCAGAGATCTTACTCAGCAGATGACAACTTCTCCAAGTCAACTAGGATAGTGGTCCTAAAGCCTAGCCCTGGGAAGCCTAATAGAACAGGAGCCAGGCTAACTGCCCGAGCAGCTCCATCTGAACAAACTCGGCGGATCGACTTCCATGGAGGTTTACAAGATGATGCATCCATCCTAGGATCTAGGGAATTACTGCATGGTTCGGTTCAGCACATGCCAGAGAGTCGTCATCGGCGGGACGAATCCCTGATATCATCCACATATTCAAATGGGTATGGTGGAGATGAAAGCTCTTTCAGTGGGTCAGAAGTTGACTACATTGATGAAGGAGGTAGCCCAAGTGACTCAGATGCAGTCAGTCCAATGTCGCGACATTCATGGGATTACATCAGAAGACACAACAGTCCTCACTCAGCCTCTACTTTTAGCAGGGCCCATTCACATTCACCTGAGTCATCTGTGATCAGGGAAGCCAAAAAACGGCTTTCAGAGAGATGGGCAATGGTATCATACAATGAGATCAATCAAGAACAAGTACCTTTGCGAAGGAGCTCAACCACCTTGGGTGAGATGCTCTCCCTTCAAGTAGCTAAGAAAGAAGAAGCTGTTGCTGGGATAATTTCTGTTTCAAGCAACCGGTCAAGTGGCACAGAAAATGAGTTGGCCATGAAAGATGCATGCAAATCTACTTTAAGAGAGTACGATGAAAATGGGAAGAGCTCTCCAAGGAATTTAGCAAAATCAAAATCTGTCCCAGTGTCTTCATCTATATTTGACAACGTAGCAGTGAATGCTCAATCTGCAAATTCTGAAGGGACTCCGAAGGTGTTTACAAAGTCAGGTAGAGCAAAATTATCTTTCACGGGGAAAATATCAAGTTTTTTCTTCCCAGGCAATAAAAGGCCAACAAAAGAGAAAACTTCCCTCTCATCTGATAGCTCAGGCGAGATATTTGGATGTATCGGGCACATGGTGCCGCAGTCTGATCACAATCTTGGTCCTGATGAACAAATGGCTTTTTGCAAGGATGAAGCTGATAATTCCACCAATCATGCTCCCTGTTCTACAAAAGTACGCACTTATCTCAAATTATATTCATGCCTTACTAGTTTTTTTTAATTATCAATGCATTGGTCTACCGGATTCTCCTTTTCCACCATGGCCTTGTGAAGCTCTTTGATTATCTCTTCCCGAGTTCCTACAAAAGAATACTGCTTTGTACTCCAGTTTTCTTACTCTCAGTAACTAATAAGAGACATGTAGCAGGATGCTGGTTCCATAGAAGTACCTGTATCTTCTGACTGTGTAAGTGGAGATGTTGATGAAGTAAAATCAAATGGTGATCTAAAATCTATCCACGATGAGACTAGTCCTACTTCAATTCTTGACACGGTTTTTGAAGATAGCAACAGTAATGAACCTGAATCTTCAAGAAGAACTTCCTGCACCGAGAGTAAGTTTTGTCACCTGTTCTGACCCTTGAGCTTACCATTGCTGTCTTCTATTATGTACTAACTACATGTTCTCTATGTCTTTAGGGGTTGCCTTACGATGCCCTGCTATCGATTCTGTTGCCCGCTCATTTTCATGGGAAGATACCAACTCAGGTTCTCCGTTGCTAGGTGGCCTAAAGCATTCCAATGTAGATGATGCCGATTATGATGATGATGAACTAAAATGTTACTCTCTTGTACAAGAGATAGTATCATCTGCTGGATTATGCCATCTGCAGTTAAGTATGGTCTTCACAGGGTGGTACCTGCCTGAATCCCCCCTTGATCCTGCATTGTGTGACAAGTTCTTGGATCGCAAGGAGGAGGATGCTAAATCGAGGGAGCGAAGGTCACACCAAAAGCTCATTTTCGATTGTGTAAATATGGCCTTGGTTGAGATTGGCCAGGATACGTTACTATGCAGCTATCCATGGAGTAGAGCATGCTTAAGAACATGGAGGGAGAAACTATCTGAAACCTTGGGTGAAGAAGTATGGAACATCGTGAGCGATTGGCTTTATGGAGATGGGAGCTTTGCGGCAAACAAGGACGACAATGCTGGAATAATCTTGGAAAGAATTATGCAGGAGGAGGTGGAAGGGAAGGGTTGGATTAAGCTATTGACAATGGAAACAGATGAGATCACTGAGCAGATTGCCAGTGAAGTGTTGGAGGACATTGTCACAGATTCTGTGGAGCATCTGTCAATTTGTTGTTCAGAGCATGGCATTTCAATGCCAGTAGCAAATCTGTAGGAAGCAATTTCTTTCATATGAGCACTTGCCTTGAATTTTGTTGTGCTGAAAGAATTCCTCAGCAGCTTCATAGATTGTATATAAGTCCATGTAGTTGCTTACTCTTGCTTCTGCTTATACCTACAGCTCAGATTGGCCAAAATCGTGCAGTTCTTTACTCTGTAGATGTCCTACTGGTCAAATTGGGTTAGTCAGAAGTCTAACAATAGCATATGGTGTCAGTAGTATTGTAGCTTTTTGGGAAGCGAAATACTAACTTTTAGTGGCCGTGTGTGTTTGACTTTGAGGTGCAGCAGAACACTGCTCCATATGACCATATGCTGCAAAGAGTATTATATAATGCATTCCGGCGCCAGTTGGCAGCATCCTGGTGTCTTGAGCTCTATGTCAAATTCGTCAATCTGAACGTCTGAATATAAAATTGAAACGAGGGCATCTTAATGTCCCAATCAAGAATGAATTGTCTAATGCAACAAGATGTTAATAAGAAATGTTGCTTCTGTCGTAAGGGCGAAACCATCCAACATTTGTTCTTCCAATGTCATGTTACTCGTTTGATTTGGTCCGTTATTTATTTGGCTTATAACTTACAACCTCCTCAAGATGTTAACTATATGTTTGGGCATTGGCTTACATGTGTTCCTAAGGACATGAGAAATCTGCTTTTGATGGGTGCAACAGCTCTTTGTTGGTCCATTTGGCTAAGCAGAAACGGGGTAATTTTTTAACAACAAGACGGTGTCTTCTCCTTTGTAGATTATTGCTTTAGTCACCCGGTGGCTATGCACCTGGTCTGTCCTCCACAAACCGGGTCTTCATGATACTGTTATGGTGGTATCGCGTCGTTTGGATCAGGTGGCACATGAGTTTTTTTACCCTGGAACATGTGTGGCGATCTAGTCTACGGCTTGATAGTCACTAATTTATTTGTTTTGTGTTGAGGATCTAGTTAGATCATGTTTTGTGGCTGTGTGCATTTCATGCAGAGGCTAGGAGTGAGCTCAGTTGGAATGTATCATCTTGGTGTATTTGACTGAGTTTTAATAAAGCTTCCATCATCGAAAAAATGCAACAAGATGACAACTTGAACAAAAACAAAGGTGATTAGCAGGTCTTGTCAGCTCTGGACATTCTCCAGGTCAAAGATTTTCTAATCTGGGTGGCATCTTTCTCATATCAAGGTGCAGCAGTATTAGTTTAACTGTTTAAGTAGGAATTGTCCATTGGGGCAGTAGCACCAATATTGGGTGAAGAAAAAGCATTAAGTTTTTTTTTACTTTATCAATGATCAGGCATGGGGGCAAGTAATTTAGACTCCTGACCTTATCTTTGTTAAACATTCTGGCCCTGTCTGATTAGGAATTGCACACTTGGCCTTATCCCCAATGTCCAGGAATAGAATGTCATGCCTATGTAATTCATATAAAAATTAACATATGAGAACATCAAAACTATCGTTTGGATGATACACATGAAAAAGAACAGTGCTTGACATTCAAAGAGTGGGAAATGATAACACAAGGCGAGTCCACAAACTCATCCCCCCTCCCCCCAACACACACACACACACACAAAAACCTCTAAAATAGGTTATTCCATCAATCATTTATTAGTCGCATGTCCAGAATCCAGGCAACTTTAGTGGTGTGTGCTCAAAGCGATTGGGCAGCCTAACTGCATGTTGATGAATCCTTTCATCTTTGGCTCTGCAACAACCAGAAGAAAGTTTGCAAGCCTCTTCGGTGAGGATTCGACGCCGTTGCAACGCTCATAGCCTGGACAATTTGGAAGGCGCTGAATAATCAGGTGTTCCATCAAAAGCCAAGAAGCTAGTTAGATGTTGCCAAAGGGATGGCCGAGCAGGTGACACTTCAGCTCCTGTCCAATCAATGTCACGAGAATAGGCTTTCGAAGCTTTGCCCACTTCCAGTACCTTTCACCTTTCATTTCTTTTTCAGCCCTCGACTTGTAAATAATTTTATTTCTCTTAATAGAAAAAAGTGCATCTTGCCTATTTCCAAAAAAAAAAATTCAACGGACTTTTTGTAGACGATGGCCGGGGACAGCGCGAGTATGCAAAGTTTCCAGTGAAAGACGAGACGCCGGAGACAATCACGAACTCGACATGGCTGAGGAAGAGAGCGCATAAGGCGGCGGCTTTGGGTTGGATTTGCAAGTGATCAAATAGCCCGGAGGGGTTCGGTATTTAAGGGCCATTTTGGTTTGGTGCCAATTCTTGCCCTACCAATTCTTTGGTAGTTTTGAATAGTACATGTTAGCATTTTGGATTGGAGACAAATTTTGCCAAATCAATAGAGTGGAGCCAAATCTGTACTATAAAAAATTTGGTAGTGCTAAAATGTGCCCAAGGTTTGGTACTACCAATATTTTGGTAGGGTTTCAAACCAAACAAGCCCTAAAGTTCCGAACCCCTCTGGGTCTCTGATCACCATTTGATGAGGTCTGTGCGGCCTAGATTTCGTGGATGCTTCTTTCTTGGGCCAGTCTTTTGGCGAGTCGAGTACGGAGGCACTGTTCAATCTTGACCGCACGCACCTGATCGAACGGCCACCAGAGTCCCTGGGGTTTGGAGTTTTAAACTCGGGCCCCTCCCGTTTGTATCAAGAACGCCCGCACCGCTTCATGCCGTCCCTCACTAGAGCGCCGCGGCATCCTTATCGTCTCTTGCTCCTCTCTCCTCCTTCCTCAGGGCATCTCAGCATTTGTTGTTGAAATTGGAAACAGATCAGATCACAGATTGTGTGTGAAGTGTTGGATGATATTGTCAGTGTTGTCATAGATTTTCCCATAGGATTCAAACTCTAGAATTTATATATATTTTTCTTTGGCCCAAAGCAGGAGTTTCTTTTGTTCTGTTACCCTAACCACACATATCTATCTACTCCCCTTCGTCCACAAATCTGCAGCAGGAGGACATATACACTTAAGTTGAGCTAGATGGTTGCAGATGGTTTTTAGATGGAGATACTTCGAGCTCTTGCAAATTACAACATTCCGAATCCAGCTTCCGTCATCTATTTTTTCTTTTGACATAAAGCTTCCATCATCTTCAGAAACTCTTAACTGCAGAGATTTGGGCAGCAACTCCACCACACATTTTCCAACTGTCTTCCACGCTAAACGCTGTGGTCCGGGAATGACCTAAACTCCCCGCCTGTAAATATTTCCCTGTAACTCCTTTATAAATATACAAGGAGAAATTATTGCCTTCTTTTTTTTTAAAAAAAAACAGTCTTCATCACTACCAAGATAGAACCACGTAGCTAGCGGCACTGCAAGCAGGGAAGGAAACGAAGGAAAAGGAGAAGAGAATAGATGGATGCACCAGCTAGACGACGACCGGTGGCAGCGCACCTGCGCACGCGAAGTTTCCGGTGAAGACGAGACGGCGTCACGGCGAGACGCCGGCGATTCCGAAGTCGACGTGGCTGAGCCGCAGCGAGGTTGGAAGGAGAGATTGCGCCGGTGAGGAAGAGAGCGCACGGGGCCGAGTTGGGCCTGAATTGCAAGTCAAAGCCCAGCTTCCATTACGATGGCCCAACAAGTGATCAGAGTCGAGATACATTCAGAGTTTCAAACTCTGAAGTCCGAGACTTTGATTTTTCCGGTGATAGTAAAGCCAAAACCCCAAGACAAGGTACAACTGTTGAGAAGGAGACATGATCAATAGAACCTGGCTGGATCACGGGACATGTGAGTTTGATGTATCCCATTTGATATCTTCGCATCCGAGAATCAACAAATTCTACTCCGCATTTTTGGCAAAATTTTTCCTCTTCGTTTTCAGCTCCGAACCCCCCGGGTCATCTTATCGATGATCGCTATTCGATGAGGTCCGTGCGGTCTAGATTTCGCCGCGTCGAGTGTTGGGCCAGCCGGTAGGCGGTAGGGAGGGAGGCATGTCTGCTACTCAATCTTGGCCGCCCGAATGTGATCGGACGGTTGTAAGAGGCCTAGGGCGTTCGGAGTTTAAAACTCCGACCCGTTCCGTTGGTAGCAAGAACGCCGGGACCACTTCACTCACGCCGTCCCTCGCCGGAGCGCCACCGCATCCTGGTCCTCTCTTGCTCCTCTCTCCTCCTTCTTCGAGACATCTCAGCATCTGTTGTTGAAATTGGAAGCATATCAGACCACAGATTGTGTGTGAAGTGTTGGACGGCCTTGTCGTTGTCAGTGTTTGTCCTAGATTATTTGGAGCAGTTGTCAATCGGTATTTCAATACCAGTGCAACGGTAATCCATAGGAAGCAATTGCGGCGGCGAGGAAGAGCGCGCACTGGGCAGCGGCTTGGGCCCGAATCGTTTGTCTAGTGCAACAATATGGCAACTTTGAGCTCTTGTCAGCACTGGACGTTCTCCAGGCTTGAGATTTTTCTAATCTGGACGTCATCTTTCTTTTTTCAAGGTGCAGCACTATCAGTTTAAATGTTAAATAGGCATCGGTCAATGGGGCAGGAGCAGCGATATTGATTTGAGAAAAGCATTGTGGCACCATTAATTTTCCTACTTTGATGAGTGGGCATTGGGGCACATATTTTAGACTTCTGACCTTACCTGGTTGTTACACAATGTTCTGGCCTTATCTGGTTGGTTTTTACGTGCCCTGTAATAATCAAACTTTTCACCAGCTTTTCAACTGGGAACAATATCTTTTCCCTGTTCAGAGGAGTGGTTTTGATCCTCGTTAGATTACAGTGTCTCGCATTGTGATCTCCGTGAAGTTATTGGGCAGGGTTTTTCTATACATCTATTATTTGCATACAACTTAAAATAGTTATAGAATTATTTTTAAAATAGTAACATTATAATTGAGATGATACAAATCTATATCTATAAACATACATGCAAGACTAAATTTGATTTATAACTACAGAAACAAAAACAATTAAATCAGACAGTGAATAGTGTCGGTATAACGCAAATAAAGTTTGTTATTTTTGTTTTTTTCATGTGTAGATCGAATTTAGATTTGTATGTTTGTATAGTCTCTTATATTTTCATAATCTATCTCGTTAAATATTATGAATTAGTGAATTCACCTGTCTGTTATATTCCTGATGAATTGCAAGGACTGTCCATATCATATACATGGATGCTGCCAATGAAGGATTAAATCCTGCTCCTAGATCTGTTTGTCTGCAAAACTTATTTGCATGTGAGGCGTCAGGTAAATGGTTTCAGTGGAGTAACCATTCTGTTTCTTCCATTATTGTACTCTGATTTCTTCCAATGTGTGTGTCTGCTAATCCTGAAGACCTTTAGACCCAGCTCTCTCATCGGTTTAATTTTCATGGACTAGTTAGGCTAGCACAGAACTGAAGATCGCATGGATCTTCCACTGTATTGAACTTTACAGAGGCAGCCCGTAGAATGGTAGAGCACAGTTTGTGCAAAACTACATGAGAATCCTGATTCCTTAAGGAGCTCAGAAGAAGAATGTAGCGATGGGAAAATCTTAGCATACCTATCTCTGGATGGGCCTATAATTGCCTCTCTTTTATTTAGCTCGGACCGAAGGCTCTGAGCTCGTTTTCTTTCCTTTCGCTTTGTAAAGTTTACTCCTTCTCTATTCAATGAAATTGAAGCTCGTCGATTAGTTTAAAAAAAAAATCTCTGGATGGGCCGTAAATTTAGTACTAGGAGAGAACTTTCTGAAATGCGTCATCACAGACAGGTGAAAGCTTAGAAACACCAGAAGTAAACCATGGTAGAGATGTTCTCAGTGGAGATTTAACTGGCTGGAGTTTGGAAATACTACTCCTATATTTGGATTCGGCCCGAATCGCAAAAGTCGCATTGATTCATAATGTTTCACGCGCGGCGAAATCAATACTCAGCAGAGTCCACTTGTCCTCTGCCAAATAAAGCTCAGCAATTGTACAATGTGCTTACCAATTCAGCGCCTTGGAGTTGCAGATCCACTAGTTCGTGACGATTTTAAGTGCTGCCCGTGCAAAGCCGCGGACTAGAGCAAATACGAGTCAACTGCCTGTTGCGATTTTGGCCGCCAAACAATAATACGTGCATGGGAACGGAAGAAGGCTCGTAACTCGTAAGTCGTAAACTATCTTAGACAAAGCTGATGGAATCATGGAGTGCAAGTTGCGCGCCATCGAGGCTAACGAAAGTATCGTGGCCGTCGTCGCAAACAAAGCCAATGTCGTTGCAGCCAAAGCACGGCAAAAGATTAGCGAGCTGATCACGAGTTCACGACCCAAATGTTCACGGATTGTTGTTTACGTTTGCTTCGCTTTGTTGCAATGACTAAAACACGTATCTAATTACAAAAAAGAATTTTATGCATGCTATGCGTTTGCGGGGTTGCGTGCGTGGCGTGTCAGCGGTAGAACGACACGGGCGGCAGGCGGAAGCCGGAGTTGCGTTGGCGCAGGAAGGGTATCGCCTCGGGCCGCGACTCGAGGTCACGGTAGAACTCGTACTCCGCCTCGTAGTCGTGAAGGTCCAGCTCGCGCCGTTGCAGCGTGTGGTAGTGGTGCCGCGCCGACGCGTCCTTGCCGAACCCGAACACCGACACGCGGTCGCACACGCCCGCCGCGGCCACCACCGCCTGCATCCCCGACGAGTAGTGGAACATGCCTTCCTCGTGCCGCCGCGCCCACTCCTCCGCCGGCCGCCCCGTCTCCCGCGCGAACCGCCGCAGCGAGTAGTACTTGACGATCCGCGCGCACAGCGCGTCCAGCCTCGGGTCCGTCACGATCACCGGCGCCGCCGCGGTGGCGTCGGCGGCGCCCGACGAGGAGGAGGAGGCGTTGTTGCACACGGCGTGCTCGACGAAGTGCGCGGCGTTGCACATGTACGTCAGGATGGGCACGCCCTCGCCGTAGGCGCGGCAGAAGCAGGCGCCGCGGCGCGGGACGGCGCACTGGCTCAGCACGTTGCTGTTGAGGAACGCGAGGCCGGTCCTCGCGCCGACGTGGCGCGCGTACCGACCGTCCCCCGCCGGCGCGTTGTTGAGGCGGACCACGAGCTCGTGCCCGTCGATGAGCTCGCCGTGCTCCGCCGCCAGCAGGATCCCGCTGTTCCCGACCACCGCGCAAGACGCGTACCTCCGGCCCTCCCCCTCGCCGCCGCCACCACCGTCGCCGTTGTACCGATCGATGGGGCGCTTGATGAGTTCCACGAGCTCGGACATCACGCCGGGGTCGAACCGCTCCTGCTTGCCGACCCACTCCCTCAGCCCCCGGAGCGCGACGTCGCGGTGCCTCTCCGGCGCCCTCGCCAGGTTCCCTTCGAGCAGCCTCTTTGCCGCCTGCAGCACCGCCATCGCCGCCGGGTCCACGGCCGCGAGCTCCACAAGCCTCTCGTCAACGTCATCACCATCGTTCCGTCCCGCACCACCATCCGGCGCGGCGGCCGCGGCGCCATCGCCGGAATGGCGCAGCTGGGAGCAGCGGAAGACGAGGAGAAGGCAGAAGACGGCGACGAGCAGGAGGAGGCCGCACGACGGGTGGCTCCAATGCCTCCTCTTCATCTCGCCAAGTAAGCTCCCGCCCAGCACAGCTCGCCTCTGCAGTATCAGAGGAGAGAGAGCACACGCCACGATTGTGGGCAAATCCGCCATTTTATACGGGTGTTCCAAATGGCATCCTCACTGTCATGTAGCCCATGTTTCGTCAAAACGGGGAGACGGAATCTGGAAACCGAAGATACAGAACCACGCCCATACTAGCGCACAATTTTCTCAATTAATAATTTCTACTCCGTTGACGGCTCACGGCTGAGATTACCACGCAGAAAAAAAATACAATTTGCCAGCTGAAGCTTTCGCCTGCAGGGTTCAGGGCACGGCGGCGGCGTAAACAATTGGTTTTCGTGGCAAGTTGGCGGAGGTTCATGTGGGGACGGAGCGGCAGATGGTGCACCACGAGACGCGATTGGCGAAGGTTCCGAGCCGTGCCTCCCCCAGGAGGCCGCGTTTTCTGCTCGCGCGGCAGTGATCAACTAGTGCGCGGGCCGCGGGGGGGAGGTCGATCGGCGGCGACGTCGTGGGATGTGATGCATGTATTTCGAGTCGTGTACTACTGCTCCCGCGCGCGTGTGCGTGCGTCTCGTCGTCCCAGGCACGTTCCTCGGTGGAAAATGGGAAGATACACACGTACCGGTCGGTGACTCGGTGGTCTAACATGGCAGCTGATCGACATTCCGTCCAGCTCTGAACTGAACATTTGGTCGAAGTGCTCGGTCATCTTTACACGCAAATCTGCGTCCAGCGATGGAATCTTAAGATCCCAGAACATGCGAATTTTCACTCAGAAGAAAAAAACAAAAAGGGCAAAACTTACACGCACGGTAACGCCCTGAGTCCCTGACCCTATTATCATGCCATTTGTAACCGTGGGAATTGTCTGCAGTACTACACCTGCAGTAGCAGCCACTGACATATAGGACCAGGTCCACATGTCAACCACTGATATTGTAAATGCAGTACTGTCACACCCCAATCTGGTACCGCCGTACAACGGCACCTGACTGGAGCGTGTCGTAGGAAAAACGGCGCGAATCGCTTCCTACGAAACCGCGATCTCAGTACCAGTCCCAGGACATAGCGCTGGTACCCACGGTGACAAATTTGAATCATTGCAAATCCTTAACATAAATAAAGGACTTATTTACCTTAACTTAGGTTGCAGCTCAGAACAGCCCGAGAATGCAACCGACGACGCTGACGAGGAAACACCAACAACAGCAGCAGCAGCGGAACCAACGAACGAACACCCAACACCACAGGCAACGGCTGGGAATCAGGACGAAACCCTAATCGTCACTTCACTTTATCTTCTCTTCAGGGCGGAGGAACTATATATATATTTATATAGAGCAAGGGTGAGTACTTTCGTACTCAGCAAGTCACAGGAACTTAGGTGTTTAATGCAAGATTGGAAGAGAGGCAAGGTTGTTTTGCAAATATTTTGTTTGAAATCATTTTGAAATCACTAAGTGATTTATTTCTTTTTAAGTTTGGGTCGAAAAGAGACTTGCGCCTCAAATCGACTTAAGAGATGCTTTTCAACAGCTCAATTGGTAATGTACCGACCTCCCGGGTCAGATCATTACTTCTCGGCTCCCAGAGCCATTTCACTTGATTAAGCGGCTCCCAGAGCCTTATTCGTTTTCGCGGACTCCCAGAGTCCAGCTGCCCAGCAGCAAAGCAATCCGCTTCCACTCGGAAAGCCTAGTCTATGATGCCCGCAGACATCCCGAATCACACAGATTCGTTTCTGACCACTCAGGTCATCCATCTGCCACATAGGCTGATTCTGATTACGATTCCCACACCACAACAACTTTTCACAAAGCACAGGCAAACAAATCTATGCAACGGGAACCACCTCACATCCGCCCATGACCGTGGGCACGGCTGTTCGAACAGTTAGTTAACCTCTGCAGAGGGGTACACTTTACCCACAAGACACGAACTTACTCCAGACACTGGCCGGTGTCAGAGGTTCGCGACAAAGCCTTTCCTAAGCCGACTCAAGGTTACCTCATGCCACATAGAAGGATCAAATCCTCACATAAATATAGGCCATTTTAGTTTTCACAAATCAAACTCCAACTACCTCGATCGGTAATTCAGCAAGCTTCTCTTCCTTGCTTACCAGGAACCCGGTTTGGCTCCAACCGACCCCGCCCCGGCGTTCCCAACTATTAGCATGCGAGGTTTCCCTGAACCGACTAATTACTTAGCCAGGGTGTCCCATACCACCTTGTGGTTGCACTTTGATTATGCTCGATGAGTTTCCCATAGGAACCGGTCCTAATATGCGAATACGGACAGTGCCACATAGGCACAACCCCTGCATCGCAAGTTTTCACAATTCATTTTATTTTTAATCACACCGACACCACATGTCGGGTTTTCAAGGCTTTACAAACCCATTTCCCAAGTTTTCGACAAACAACGGTGTATGTGGGATATTTGGTATACGCGCTCAGAGAGCACGGATACCGAGGTACCACAAAGGTGGAGCGACAAGGAGTCAGGGTAGTACAGCCTACAGGAATTAGTGCGACTACTGGGTAGGTCCGTCGGTTTGGCGCGCAAACCGAGGCCAAGCAAGTTAAGTGTGTGATTCTAACAATGCAAGTTGCAAACAAAATAATAATAATTTTCTAATTATAGGAGCAATTGGTCAAATGGTGACTTGCCTTGCTCGAGGTCTTCACGAAGCTTCACGAATCTTCGAGAAAACCCCCGATCGACGAAAATCCGGTAACCACAACTATACGCAAACAATTAAAAACCTACACAAGACCCAAAATAAAGATCCTATTTAGACTAGATAATAGTACCATTAGATAGATCTCAATTTTACGGAATTATTGGAAGTTGAACGGAGTCAATCGGATGAGCGGTTGAGAAGATATGGATTTTCTAAGGATTAAGGAATTTCTGTCTAAAGAAAAAGGATTTAATAATTTATTAAACCCTTTCTGGAAAGAAATTGAAGGAGGGATATGATTTAGACTTCCTCGGGCGGCTTGGGTGCGGCCCAAGAGGGGAGGCATGGCTCAGCCGAACTAATGGGCCGGCCGGCCCGGAGAGGCGGCCCAAGGGGGCGCGGGGAGAGTGAGGGAGAGAGAGGGCCGGTGGGCCGAGTCTACCTTGCGGGGTCCCGAGTGGGGCCCGCTTGTCGGTGGCGCGGCTCACTGTGGGAGCGGCGCATGTGGGCGGCACTAGGGTTTCGGGTGAGCGCGGTTCACGCACGTGCACCGGATGGACCAGGGATGCGGCGGGCCCACGCGCAGCCGGTTGGCGCACCGTGGACCGCGCGCGCGAGGGGGGGAGGGAGGAGGCGGCTGACCGGCTCGGCTCGGTCAAAGCCGAGGTGGCGCCGACGTGGCGCCTACGTGGAAGCCACGTAGGCCGGCGGGAGGAGGAAGAAGGGGAGGCCGAGATGGACGGCGGACGGCGGCCGTGTTCACCGGAGCAAGCGCAACGGATTTGGTCTTCGGGGAGCACACCGGAGTGACGAGGGCGTCGAGAAGGAGCGAGCCAACGGCTCGGATTCGCCGGAGGGAGTTCGACGGCGGTGGAATTCGATAGCGGCGTCCGGCGGCGAGAGAAAGGGGAAATCACCGAGGAGCGACGAAGACTCAATTAAAGGCGGCGAGAGCATCTCCGGTGTTCAAGGAGCTCATTTCCGGGGTCGGATGGGTCTGAGCGGCGCCGTGGAGGTCCGGCGACGAGAGGCGGCCTCCGGGGGTGGGCGGCAATGGCGGCGGGGCCATGCCGGGTGGCGGCGGTCCTTGGGGTGGCGTCTACGCGCGTTCGGCAGGGCTACCGAGCTACCACGCAAGCTAGAGGGGACGAGGGTGAGCGGGGAAGGGGAACGGGAGGGAGGCACTACCGAGCCGGGCGCAGTGATGGGTGGCGGCGGTGCGGGGCGAGCTCTCCGGCCTCGGGCCGGGGAAGGGGAAGGAGAGGGTGCCCGGATTCCCGCGTCACGCGTCCATGCACGCACCGGTCTCCCTGGTGCTTCGGCAACGAACAGTGAGGGCGACTGCAGGGCGGGGTGGCAACAATGGCGCGGGGGAGGTTGGGCATGGAAACGAGGAGGAAAGGGAGGGGCTCGGGTTGGTTTTTATGGGTGTGGGAAGTCGGTTTTGGGGGAGGAAACCGACTTAGGGCGGTCAAGGGGAGGAGCTGGCGGTCGCGCTCGTGGTCCAGGCGGTGGCAGGCGGTGACGCCGATGGTGGTCGGGCAAAAGGAAAAAGAAGGGGGAGAAAGGGAGGTCTGCTCCTTGCTGTTTCGGGAAAAGTTGAAGGAGGGAGAGGGAGTGAGAGAGGGGCTGCCTCTCTCGGCTTTGGAAGCTAGCGGCGTGGAGCGGCAGAGTGGCAGGGCTGACGGCGGCAACAACCGGCCGGTCGGCCACGCGCGAGCGCGGGAAAGAGCGAAGGCGGTGGCGGGTTTTGGGCGGCGACGGCGGGAAGCGGCGTCGGCGCGAGAGAGAGAAAACGAGAGAGAGAGAGAGAGAGAGAGAGAGGGAGAAACAGAGAGAGCGAGAGAGCTCTCTCTCGGCTCGGCTCGGCACGTGCAACGCACGTGCGAGGCTGAGGGAGGAGAAACGGCTAAGGGGGAAAACGGCCCACAACACCCGAGGGAGGTAAAATAGACTTTTGCAGAGAAGACTGATTTGGAGTGGATTCGAATTGGGGTTTTGGATTCGAATTCAAATTTGACATTCGAACTCGATGGTTTAGGGAGGAATCAAGGGAGACTCGAGGAGAAGTCAAGGAAGAGATTCAAAACAGAAACTTGGATATTTTTTTGTAGTCGGAGCGAATATTCGGCAAGGATTCAAAGGAAGGGATTGACTTTCGGAATTTGATTTCGGAGACTTGAATTTTGAATAGGAAATCTTGAGGTGGAGGATTTTTTATTTCGATGAGAGGGAACAATGGGATTGAATTGAGATCCATGGCACGACTTAGACTCTCACACAAAGAACGAAAATTTTCGCAATTAGGATTTTGCCGAATTAGTTTTTAATGTCTCACGAAAAGCGGAGCGTTACAAGTACTGCAGAGGATCCATGTCCCATTTGGAATGCAGGAATGAGCTTGTAGCATTCCTTTGGATTAATGTAGCATTTGCAAGCCTATTGTCCGCTTTGCCGGTGTACCCTGGAGACGGTCCTACCATGTCTCATTCTTTTATGAAACATGTCTATCCGAATTCAAGTTTTAATCTTTGACATATGTGCTCATATGTATGACAATTTATTCTTTCAGTACATACCTGTTGATGGAGAGACGCCCATGATAATTTCGTCAATCTTAAGATATTGTCGGTCCGGTCTTTCGAGGGTGCTAGATAAAGTTTCTATCTAATATATGTATAAAGTATGTTACAATTTAGCATTGGGGGTTGTACATGTGTTAGGATAGAGCTAGAGTCGATCTCTGTCCTAAACTCTCTAAATAGAGAGATACAATTATAATTTGTAATTGCACGACGACATAGCGTAGACGAAAGAAAACAACTGACCGGTGGTGTTCCAATCAAGAGTCATTGTAACTCTAATATACTGTAATTATGCTAGATCAGGGGGGAGTGTTCATAATCAATAACCCGAAGACGTAGGCTTCGGCTGGACTTTTTAACAAATGTCATGCCTCAATGTCGTTGTTAGTTTTGGATCTTCTCCACGTTCGTTTATCGATGAGTTATTGGTGCCGGTTATTTTAATAGTATTCATATGAGTAGGGTGTGGGTGTGCGTGTGCAGAAGTTGTGAGCGTAAGCGTTTATATTTCTTTTATTAAAAAGGATTAGCTAATCTTAACAGAAAATTAATCACGATATATATGATTGTCCAAGTGTTCAGGAGAGGACGTGACCACCACAAATCTGCCACTCTTCAGGAAATCAATAGTTCTGAATTTCTAATCATGGTGGCATGTGTGCTCGCTTCTAATACGGGGTCTAAATGGTTAATAATAATAATAATAATAATAATAATAATAATAATAATAATAATAATAATAATAATAATAATAATAATAATAATAATAATAATAATAATAATAATAATAATAAGAAGAAGAAGAAGAAGAAGAAGAAGAAAAGAACATATAGAGTGCTACTCCTTTTGTTTTCAAGTGTACTGCACTGATGTAGATATCTTTATGACAATTCATTATAAAATAAATAGTGTAAATATGAAAAATTATAAGTCACGCTTAACATATATTTGTCACAATAAAATAGTAATTATTTAAACATAAAATCGGAAGGTTGTAGCATTGTATATTTTAAAACGTAGATTGTATCAACCCAACTAAAATTTGATCTACACTGAGACAAAAAAAATTAATTTATTTGTAGAAATGTAATCACATTCACAATTGTTTTTTTTTACTTTTGATATTATTTGAACTACACATGTCTTTCCGGGCTTAAAATCTACTACCTCTGTAGAAAAAAAGGGTCTATTTTATTCCTATTAACTGTTCCGTCGACAGACTACAACACTTCCACCAACTAAGGCTCTGTTTAGTTCTCAGAAACATCGCATCGAATATTTGAATACATACATGGAGTGTTAAATATACATAAATTAAAAAATTAATTGCACAGTTAGGGAGGAAATCGCGAGACGAATCTTTTGAGACTAATTAATCCATGATTAGCCATAAGTGCTACAGCCCAAATGTGCTAATGATAGATTAATTAGGCTCAAAAGATTCGTCTCGCGGTTTCTAGGCGAGTTATAAAATTAATTTTTTCATTCGTGTCCGAAAACCCCTTTTGACATCCGGTCAAACCTAAAAATTTTCTTTTCGCGAAATAAACAGGCCCTGAAAACAACAACGCGGGGAAAACTATTAGAAATGACTCATTTTACTTCCTAATAATATTTCTTTACATATACATATGTTCTATTTTAAGATGAAATTTTGTTTTTTCCTGTCCTAACAATTTTCATTTAGTCCCACCATTAAGTGTTTGTTCTGTTATAAAACCGATAAGACAACAGAAAATGAGGCCATTGGGCATTGCCTAATTCACTGATTTTTCACTCGTCACGAGAGCAACTGGGGCCGGAGAAGAGTTCCCGTGTTGTAACCTGCCCAAGATGAGCAAAGCCATTGAGCACCGCCGCGTTTACCGAAAGTGCTTTAATTTTAAGAAGAAAAAAAACGCGCGTCACGTCGTATACGGTATAGATCATTTCAATCAATTCTAGTAGTTTAGGATAAGCTTGTAGTGTAATCTAAACTAACATTCGCTAAGCAGATATGGACGAGCATGCACACGAGGTGTATTACCACCATGAAGAGGATAACTCGTGTATATACCAGTGCGTTGTAGTGCATCCTTACCGGAAAAAGGGAGCACAAGCTGCTTGGAGCTGGAGAAGAAATATAAAAGATCATTAGTTGGTTGTTATGCTTAGCTTTTATTTAGAGCACCTGTTTGATTTTGATTGGCACTTATGCCTTTGTTTGAGGCTAGCGCTAATCTGTTTGATTGACGGTTCGCCGGTCTGTGGGCCACCACCAGCCCACCGTCCGATCGATCGCCACTAGGATTCGAGCGGGCCGGCCCATTACAAAAAAAAAGGACAAACTAAACACGAACAATTTTATGTCACTGACCACATATCTATGTCTTAGTCGAATCCATGTTGCCAGAAATTGCCTGAAGCAACTTTGGCATGGGAGGCATGTCGACTTCTAAGACGCCTTCAAGTATATGGACTACCTGTGCCATGGTCGGTCTGTTCAATTCATCATCCTGAATACACCAGCAAGCAACTCGGCAAGCTCTTTCAACCTCTTCTGAATTGATGTCACTCTGAATGTTTTGGTCCAATAGGCATTGCACATTCCCCTGAAGGAGTTTACCAACAACCTGAACCGGGAAATAGGTAGCATTACTGGTGCACTCTCCTCTAAAATTTCTTCTTCCAAATACGATTTCCAACAGCACCATTCCATAGCTGTAAACATCCACTTTTGATGAGATGGCCATTCCACTAATCCATTCAGGCGCAAGATATCCGATAGTTCCTCGTACCGTTGTCAGAACTTGGCTAAAATCTCTCCCCATGAGCTTTGACATCCCAAAATCTGCAATCTTGGGAACAAATGATGCATCCAAAAGAATATTCTGTGGCTTGATGTCACAATGTATGATGCAGTCCAGACAATTCCCATGCATGTAGGCCAATCCTCTGGCAACACCAAGCGCTATTTTATACCGAGTACTCCAATCCAGAGATGCAACTTTACTCCCAAAAAGATTGGAATCAAGTGAACCATTTGGCATGTATTCATAGACCAACAACCTATTGCTACCTTCGCAACAAAAACCAATTAACCTGACCAGGTTAATATGTTGGATTATTCCTATTGAACGCACCTCTGCTCTGAATTCCTTCTCTCCTTGACGAGCACCATCAAGTCTTTTGACAGCTATTACAGTGGAGTCAGTCAAAACACCCTTGAACACAGAACCAAAGCTGCCACCCCCTAATCTTTCTGAGAAGTTTTTTGTTGCATGCTGGAGATCCTTGTACCTAAAAGCTACTGTTCCACATATAATTCTACCGACTGATGAACAGTTCCTTTTATTTCTCCTAACAAACATGATAACAATTGTAAACAAGGACAGAATGAGAACGCTTGCAACAGCAACCACTCCAATGATCAATCCTCTTGTGTGCTTTGAGCTCTCACTAACATCATCCTCAGCTGCAAGGCGAAGGTAAAGAATTCCTCCACTGCTACTCTGGTTATAGTTATACTGCCGTGCAACATTAAACAATCCATCACTCCAAACATTGCAACTGCCGTTGTACGAATATGCAGTGCAAGAACAATCATTCAGACAAGCCTGTTTGCATCCATCGGCAGTCCCAGCTTCCATGTTCTTGGCATTAGCAGGGAATCTAACATCACTCATGGCATAGAACCTATCTGTCACACCACAATTCAGAGGAACGTTCCTAACACATCCACCGGTCTGGTCTCCTAGCTCCCAGTCCTGTGGTGACCTGATGGAGAAGCCCTCCATGCAGTTGCAGAACGGGAGCATGTCCTCTCTGCAGAGAGCGAAAGCTCCACAGACAGCGTACACGTCACACTGAGCTCCTGGCTTCGCGTAGAAGGTCACCCAATCCTCCGAGACGCTGGACCAGATCATGTTCTTCGCCTGCCCGGAGGCAGCGAGCACGTACCTCGTGACCATCGTGTCGTTCCTCAGCCTGTACGTGAAGTACTCCTCGTGGTCGTTGCTGACGAAGTCGAAGGTGAAGAGAGCCCGAGCCGTCAGCTCCGGCGTGTTGCTGAAGTAGTCCCCGTTCCATGGCCCCGTCGACCAGTACACCACGGAGGAGTTCCACGCGAGGAACAGGCCCGGGTTGGCGAAGTCGGAGGACGGCGTGGCGGAGTAGACGCCGGGTGAGAGGTCGCCGGAGTTCTTGCTGGAGACGAGGCCGTGGGTGAAACCCGTCGCCTTGTTCCACCCCATCTTCGCGCCGGGGAGGAAGGTGTCCGTCATGTGGCTGAAGCTCTCCCAGAAGATGATGGAGGAATTCGAGGCGTCGGAGAGGACGAGGTTGCCGCTGTTCAGGAGAACGGCGACGGTGTTGTTGCTCGTCGTGGTGTTGGCCTGGCTGGACCAGGCTGCAGCTGTCATGGAGTTGTTGTTGGCGCGGTTCGAGATGACGAGGTTGCCGTCGCCGGAGATGGCGAGCTGCCACGAGGCGCCGCCGTCGGCGAGAGGGTTCTCTCGGTTGGCCACCCATGCCGGGGTGAACTTCGAGACCGTGTTGAACCATACACCCAGGTACCACTTCGGGGCAGTGCTACTGCTGCCGTTGCCGCCGGCCATTTGGAAAAATCCCAGTGCGAACTTACCGTTGCCGGAGACGAGCTTGTTGCCGCCAGCCAGCGGCCGGCCTGCGGTGACGGTGTCCGTTGCAGCGGGCGGGAAGGTGGTGATCAGTAGGGAGAAGAGAAATGGGACGAAGAGAAGTGCCATGGCGCGTTGGCTTGTGGTGTGCAAACTCCATGGTCAATTGGAAGCGATTATGCAGGATGCATAATTGCACAGTGGCACAGTGCAAAGCAGCTTAGTTAACTGCAGTTCATTTTTTTAGAAAATAAATAACAGCAGTTCATACATCATATTCTCTCCGTTTCAAGTTATAAGACGTTTTGACTTTGGTCAAAATCAAACTATTCTAAGTTTGACTAATTTTATAAAAAAAAGTAGTAATATTTACAACATTAACATAGTTTCATGAAATCTATAGTTAAATAATTTTTTATAATATATTTATCTTGGATTAAAAATATTACTACTTATTTTCTATAAAAGTAGTCAAATTGATAATAGTTTGACTTTGACCAAAGTCAGAATGGCACGGATGATATGATTAGTTGGGGAACCGGTCATAAGGAAATCATAAACACTTGCATCAGCTTTGAACACTGGCCACAAATCTGTTTAATCTATGATGATTGATGATCGTTTGCAATGATAATGTAAATAATCACAGTCGTTCCGGCGAAAAAATAATCAGAGAGTCCACTCTCATGCATCATATCGTTATGGACAACCAGGACACATGCTTTGCATTCCCACCAAATTCAGTATTTACTTGGTATGTCTGAAACCGAAACAATTGTTCTCAAATGTTATCTTGAAGCAAGTACAATAAACCCTTAAACACTATCCATAAAATATCAAAATGTCATGTATGCTCAGTATAGAAGGAATAAAATACAGGAGATATGTTGGAACAATGCTAGAGCAATGTCCAACAAACATAGCAAGGACTCCACTTTTTTTGAGGGAGCCCAAGCTTAGATTCGTGAGGGAGAAGATGATAGGAAGAGACTGAGAATGGTTGTTGAATAGATGGAATAATCGGGGTGACCCCTCCCCTCCGTCATGAATCTAAGCTTGGGTTCCCTCGGAAATTTGCATCATTGCCCTTGGGTCGTTACCTGTGAGTGGCATTGTCTTGAAGGCATTTTAGCCATCTATTATATTAGTTAACCGAACACTAGAGTGAGGTTTATTTCCCCAACAAGATGCAGATGGCAATATCTACCTTAGCTCCAAGAGACATGGAGAGATATATGTAGAGGACTAGTACTTTAGATTGCTAGAGCCAGTGTACTAGATAATATTTTTACATAAAAACTATACCATATTTTACTATATAACAATATTAGTATTACATGTGGATTATAGTTTGGACCATCTTCCATTAACAAAGTTTACTTTGGGTTACTCCCTCTGGTTCTATATTAATTGACGTTTTGGACAAGATTGAGGTTAAACTTTTATAACTTTGTCCTTCAATAACTTTAAAAATATTTAGTTTAAAGAAACTAGAAAAACATATATAGATTTGTTTTTCAAAACACTATAATAAAAGTAAACATGCATTTATTTATTGTATATATTATAATAGAAAAATAAGGTCAAAGGTATATCTTGTAGAGCGTGTCATTGTCCAAAGTGTAGGATCGAATCACAAGAACTAAGTCAACCAGAGGGGGTGAATGGTTGATATACCCAAAAACCAAAACTTTTAGCGGAAATAAAAGTTACCCTCGAAATTGACGGAAGTCAGTCTGACCGAGATTGATCTGCTGATCTGACCGAGTGGATGCCGCCGGTCTGACCAGTGTTGAATCTCTGGTCTGACCGCCGAAATCGCCTGCCGCGCCTGTCACCGCCGCTGGTCTGACCGCCCGTATGCCGCCGATCTGACCGCCGCTTGCCGCCGGTCTGACCGCCGGTATATCGCCAGTTAGACCGCCGAAACCCGGTGAAGCACAAATCGAAGAACTCTCAAAGTAGATGACAACTTTATTGCTTCTCTCTGTGTTTACAAAGTGCAACAACAGCACTCCTTACAAAAATCTCGACTAAACTCGAAACCCTAAAACACAACGCTATGAAAAGCAACACAAAAAGAGATACCGGGAAGCCTCACGCTCCCCCTCTATTTATACATGAGGTAGGCAGCCTAAAGCCATGAACCAAACTCATACTAAGAGTCCTAAACACCTTAGGAAACCCTATAGTACAAGAAACAAACTTTACATAACCAATCGTACCAAATTTGGACTTCTTCCAAATTCGACTCCGTATCCCATACGCACACAATACCTCCATCGTATGCCATATGGAATCTCCATCAACCACGTGCATCAACTCTAGCCAAAGTATCCCGCATGATCTCTGACCACCACGGACGTCGTCTTATCCCCAAGCCGACTCCCGGTCCATCACCGCAAATACTCTCCCGAGACATCGAGTCACCTACACATGGAACTAACAAAGAAACCATATTCCGAGACCAAGCTATCTCCAACTTGACTCATTAGCAGCAAACAATAGTATTACATATGTATAGTATCCATCTAGAAGCCATAACCATGAAACAATCACGGATATCCAAAGAAACAACCCGAAACCGAAACCTACACAGCGTCGGCCGGTCAGACCGCGGGCCGGCCGGTCTGACCGCACACATAGCACCGGTCTGACTGGCAACCTCCGCCCGGTCGGACCGGTCACATAAAATAACAGTGAATCCGATCATCACCTAAAAATTGATTATCTCCAAAACCACTTCAACGATAATCTCCAAATATCAAAACCAATAATCACAGATGCCAATTGTTCATCACAGAATAAGAATCAAAACACACTTTGATCTTACAATCTCCCCCTTGATGAACACATTGGCAAACCCAATAAAAATGTTTTGGTGTTTGGAAAAATAAAAACAAGAGCGGTAAAAAGCCCATTTCGTCCAAATGTCACATCGTGCTCAAAAATCCAAAAGAAAACTTCTCCCCCTTTTTAAAAGAAAGAAATCTCCCCCTTTTTGAAAGAAAGAAATCTTCCCCTTTTTAAAAGAAAGAAATTCCTAGTTGAACCAAAAACATGCTCTTCTCAACAACTCTCCGAAAATTCACGTGGCTTCTCCAAAAATCCAAAAATTTTCACCTTGCTTCTCCCCCTTTTGACAATGATTTCATCAAGCATAGGAATTATATTCATTAATGTTCAAGAGCTTAGCATACATATAGCATATCAAGTCATGTGTTGCAATAAAAAGAAGATAAACCCATCTATAATATAACAAGCATGCATTAAAGTATAACCATAAACCAAATATTTTACAATTAAGCTAGAATCAACAATCGAAATTCATGATTTCATACGATTTATAATGCAACATCTTAACAAGCACATAGGTTGAAGAATAAACACTAAACGCATATACCTATTGCATTTATCACTCTTTCCCAAATAAACTTTAGCACAAAATAACCAAGAGAATTTTTTGAACTTTTTCTTTTCTTGAGCCTTTTTGCTCATATTTTTCTCTTTTATTCCAGGTACGTCCCTATCGTCAAGACTGTTTCCAAGGATTCAGCACCCATTATTTTGCTCACATCGAATACGTCCTTGTCGTCAAGATTGTTTCCAAGGATTCGGTATTCATTTTTTTCATATTTTTATTCTCTTTTTCACAATGAGCAATTAAATCTATGTGAGGAATAACAAGTCAATAAAGCATAAATATAGAGCATTTACAAATCAAACCATATGCTAGCATCAACATTGCATATTTGCTTAATTCAAGTAGAATTTAAGTGTCATGCATCATCTCCCTTAAAAGCAAAATCTAATTCTCATGAAAAGACTAGAATACATACAAGCTATGCTAGAGACAAATAAACCTTCAAAGTATTGCTAGCATGCACAAGAAAATACCACATGCATAAACAAAGCTCTCTTTTCTCAATTTTTCTCATTGTCATATTATTGCTTGATAAAACCATGAGGTACAAACTCCCCCTCAAACCATGCCAAAAGAATGAATTATTCCCAATTCACCACGAAGAAAAGCAAACCGATTAGAATCCAAAGGTTTAGTGAAAATATCAGCAAGTTGCAACTTTATGTCCAAAAACTGCAATTCAACATCTCCCTTCTCAACACGATCCCTCAAAAAGTGAAAACGAATATCAATATGCTTTGTGCGTGAGTGTTGAACAGGATTCTTAGCAATATTGATAACACTAGTATTATCACAAAAGAGAGGTACTTTCTCAAAAGTAAGACAATAATCTTTCAAAGTAGATAAGAGCCAAAGAATCTGTGAACAACAACTAGCAGCAGCAACATATTTAGATTCAGCAGTTGATTGAGCAACACTAGATTGTTTTCTAGAAGACCATGCAATCAATGATGTACCAAGAAAATGACATGTTCCACTAGTACTTTTTCTATCAATTCTACAACCCCAAAATCAGCATCGGAATATCCACTTAAGCATATAGAAGATGAAGTAGAATACCAAATTCCAAACTCAAGTGTATGATTCAAATACCTTATTATTCGCTTGATCGCTCGACGATGTGAAGCACGAGGAGAAGCTTGAAAGCGTGCACACAAACACACAAGAAATTGTATGTCTGGCCTAGAAGCAGTTAGATACAATAAAGACCTAATCATACTTCTATATTCCTTTTGATCAACAGCTTCACCATCTTCATCAGGATCCAACACAGCTGTAGAACCAATTGGTGTTGAAATTGGCTTGCAATTCTCCATCTTAAATCGTCTCAAAAGATCCTTCGTATACTTCATTTGATGCACAAAAGTACCTTGAGTTGTTTGCTTAATTTGCAATCCCAAAAAGTACAATAACTCACCCATCATGCTCATCTCAAATTCCCTGCACATAGTCTCAGCAAAATCTACAACCAAAGCGTGAGTCGAACAACCAAAGATGATATCATCCACATAAATCTGAACGAAAAGTTGATTATCACCATGCTTAAGAACAAAAAGCCTTTTCTCAACCTTTCCCATTGCAAAACCTTTCGCAAGCAAAAAGTTCTTAAGCCTATCATACCATGCCCTAGGAGCTTGTTTCAAACCATACAAAACTTTAGACAATTTAAAAACATGGTTGGGAAAATCAGGATTTTCAAAACCTTGTGGTTGTTTGACATAAACTTCCTCCTGTATAAAACCATTTAGAAAAGCACTTTTCACATCCATTTGATACAATTT